CTGCCAGGGAAGTTCATTGAAATGGCCAAGGAGACACTTACCCAAATGACCAGTACACTCCATCGTGTGGTAGTGTCAGCCCACATAGACATGACTGTTTTTATTTTAACATCATTTTGCAGCCAACCTTTCTGTCATTTGTTTTGTTTTAACACCACATTACCACCCCAGATAATAGAGGTTTCAGACCCTGAGTAGGTAAAATCTCAGAAAGTAATGCAGTATGGTTGCCTTGGGGTCAATTCTTAGTGCACACCACTATTTATCTGTCCATTTATTTGACTGCTCTTAACTCCTGAATCCTTGCTTCCCTCAATAACTTTGTGTAAACAGATCTATGTGTAAATCAAAACTTAGCCACATAAGAGGAGTTAACTCCTCTGTGTCTTTAAAACGGGTATCATAATAAGTAATGTTCGTTGTTGTTTTGAGAATTAAACGAGGGATAATGCATTTAGACACATCCCACAGTAAAAGCCTTCCTATTCCTGGCTAACATGGTGAAACCCCGTCTCTACTAAAAATACAAAAAAAATTAGCCGGGCGTGGTGGCGAATGCCTGTAGTCCCAGCTACTCGGGAGGCTGAGGCAGAAGAATGGCGTGAACCTGGGAGGTGGAGCTTGCAGTGAGCCGATATCGTGCCACCGCACTCCAGCCTGGGCAACACAGCAAGACTCCATCTAAAAAAAAAAAAAAAGTTTTCTTGTTCCACTCATTCCCTATTTTATCTAACCCAGATGCACATCTTTCAAATAAACAGAAATGAGATCTTCCCAAAATATACTGCTTTCCTCCAATCGCCAATGACTGGCTGTATATTGAGGGTCCATCCCTATTAACTTAGATTAGTGCCCACAGCCTAAGGTTTATTGCCCAAACCCTTTGTCACAAAGACATTGCTCTAGAAGACACAGTGTTTTATTATTTTACTGTAAAATTATGTCTCAAAAATGCAAAAGAAAAACGTACCAAATAATAGGTATAATGCACACAATTCTGTAATTAATCCCTTTGTTAACATATAGAACATTGCTGTCAACATAGATGTTCTTTTGAAGGTACAACTCTTTTAGAGACAGTTATGCACATATATGGAGATGAAATCTTATATGGTGGGAAAGACTTAGGTTGTAAAATTACACAGGCCTGGGATTAGTCTTGTTTCTCTCACTTATAAACGGTGTGACTTTGGTCAAGTCACTTTTATCATTAGCATCCACATCTGATAAATGAGAGTGATAAAACTTTTCAATATAGCTGTAAGGTTGACACATGTATACACATATACACACACAGGTGTGTATAGGTATGTGGGGGAGGGACATATACTTGCTCAATGAATAGTAACTATTACCATTAGTAATCATGCATACTTCAAAGACATTGTGGCTTCAATACATGACAAGTTTACTAACTCTAGTAATTTAAATAATAAACATTTGCATTGGTAAAAATTTGTCTTTACAGTGATTCCAAGTTGGAAGAGTGCTGATTTCTTAAGCAAATGGATATTTAAAATCAGAATATAGAAGACTTATTTAACAAACCTTTAGATACTGCATGTATGCACTGCAAATTGAAAATATTCATTAAGATATACCCAGCAGAGTTTCCAATTGCATTGTACATTATTTACTAAAATATTTAAACGATTTTTAATTAAAATGTTTAAAATTCAGATTTTAAATTAATTGACCAAAATAATAATCTCCAATAATCTGATTTAAAAGTAATTCAGTAAATTATTATAACATTTCTGTCAGTCTTTTGTAACAACACAATTTTTAAAATATCATGACTAAATCAGCGATTATTAGACTGTCTCTTTATAGATTATATCTCATATCAGAATATTCTAGCACTCCATTCTTGGGAAAACTTATACATAAATACAATGAGAAATGTAGTCCAACTTTCCTAGAATTCTCAGGAATGACATCATCTTTGCTTAATTGACCCTAGCTTCTGTGCCAATAAGAATAAAAAGAAATTTACGTTCCTTTTTTTTTTTTTTTTTAAAAGCTATTTAAACAGTTTTATTTTTCACAGCTTTTTAAAATAACAGCATGTCATGTAACTTTTAAGTTTCAAAAATGAAATATACTTAATAAAACTGAAATGAAACTAATAAAAAGTATAAATATAACAACTCCTTCACAATTTATGACAGCAAGATTAGAAAAGAGTGAATGGGAATTGTACTTAGTTAATTAGCATTTAGTCCTTTATGTTTTTTTGGTTTTTTTGTTTGTTTTGTTTTTTGAGACAGAGACTCACCTTTGTTGCCCAGGCTGGAGTGCAATGGAGCGATCTCAGCTCACTGCAATCTTTGCCTCCCTGGTTCAAGCAATTCTCTTGCCTCAGTCTCCCAACTAGCTGGGATTACAGGCACCTGTCACCACCATACACGGCTGATTTTTGTATTTTTAGTAGAGATGGAGTTTCACCATGTTGGCCAGGCTGGTCTGAAACTCCTGACCTCAGGTGATCCACCCATCTCAGCCTCCCCAAAGTGCTGGGATTATAGGCGTGAGCCACCATACCCGGCCAATCCTTTGTTTAGTTTTGAGTTTTCCACCTGAAAATAGATACAGGGAAATTTTATTTCCCCACAGCAGTGAATGCATGTGTACTTGTGTTATGTGTTGGGTTTGATTCTCATCTCTGAAACTCTTTCTATCTGATATTGAGTAATTTCTTAATGTCTTTTAGCTTTGTTTTCCTCACCTTTAGATTGAAACAACAATTTCATCCATACCTATGTAATATATTTATATTAATAATAAACTGATAATATATGTAAAACTACTTTTTAAAAACTATAGTTACTATACTAATGAAAATTACCATTTTCTCATCAAGCCAGAGTTTAGTTAATCCCAATTTTACAAGATGTGATATTCTTGAGTTGGATTATTTTACAAATCCTACTTCACTGTTTACCTTACTTCGGGAATGTCTTTAGAATATAAAAGGAAAAGTTATGTTTATGGATACATACTTTGTGGATTAATGGTTCTAAGAAGAATCTTGGCTTTATCTTTTGGTTAGGTCAATCAAATAAGACCTAACCACTCAGGAATGCATTCATTGCGATTCAAAGATTCGCTTCTAAATTAAAATGGGTAATACGGATTGCTTTGACCAAGATTTGCACCTAAGATTATCCATTAAATCATCTGAAAACAGAGTAAGTGTGGTTACAGCACTAGGCACATGAAGCACATATAGGTCTCTCAAGACAGACTCTGTAACATGCTGTTTCCTCTCCCTGGAATGCTCAAGCTCTTCTTCCAATCAAATGCTGATACACCCTTTGGAGTCCAGTTCAGTTATTCTTTTTTCAATAATGACAATTCCCCAATTGGAATCAATTTACTGACTCGCCTCATTCCCCAAACACTGTCTCTCTTTTATATCATTTATACTGCTTGATTCTGACATCTCGAAAATCAGGAATCTAGTCTCGCCCGTTCTTCTGTCCTTCGAGTTATCATAATGTCTTTCATTCTTTCTCACTCTGATGTGAACGCTAGTTCTCCCCAATCATCTGATATCACCTATTTTCTCATATTTTCCACTTGGATATGTGGCTGCCTGGAATAACAACCATATTTCCAAATCTATATGTGGTCACATAACAAAGTCTATCTGGTTACTAACTTAAGAAGAGCAGAAATGATACAGGAAAATTCTAGATAGTACACCTTAAAGAAAAATATTGTTCACTTCCCTAACTTATTTTCTGTTCCTTATGAGTTATTTTGAAACACCCAGAACAAGTAAACATTCTAGGAATCATTGAGCAATATCATTTAAGGAGACTTGAGCCCTCAACACCATAGAAATACCATCTCAACCTGGGATGCCTACACTTTGAGTGTTACATGAGAGAAAAATCCAACTTCTACCATGTTTAAGCTTGTATTGCTTTTGAGTTTCATAACTCATTGCTTTCGATTGTTATGCCCTCTGGGCATTATTCATTGTAATTTGCTCTGTTAGCTTATAGGTCATCTAGGTTTTTGGGTAAAGATAATTTGGGTTACCTGTGTTATTAACATATTTGGTTGAGTTTAAAAGGGTCTCTTTCTTATGGTATAGGATTCCAAAAGAAGATTGTGGAAAGAATGTAATTCACGCTTTGATACAGTTTTGGCTATCAATATAAATCTAGGACATATTAGACCTCGTTTTCTTCATTTTCTAATGTTCACATAGGCTGTTCCCATTGTCTGGGAAACTTCCATATTTGGAATTACTTTATATACTATTCATATTTTGATCTCAACTTAAATATTTTGACTTTGGAAAAGTTTTCCCTGACCTTACAGACTTATTAAAAGTTAATATAATATGGTCTCATATTTTATAGCATATATTATTAGCACTACAATTATATCATTCTTTGTGTAACTTTTAATTTAATTATTGATCTTTTACGAGTCTATAAGTTCCATGAAGGCAGAAACCATGTCTGCAAAATTTACTGATGTAGCCTAAGGGCCTGGAATAAGGAATATTCTATGTTATCAATAATTATTGAAAAGAAGAATGAAGGAAGGAAAGAAAGAAGGGAGAAGGGAGGAAAGGAAGGAGAGAAAGAGAGAGACAGAAAATCTCCCCAGCCATGAAGAGGAAGAAAACAAGCAGTCATTCTGGAGTCTGATTGTTTAGATTTAAAAATCTCCACTTGAAATACTCATATAATGGAGGAAAATATGTTCTTTAGGAGAGGCATTTGAATCATTGAGACTAATTTTTTCAAATCTCTTCATTCTGGATGAGGAGTTACAGTAGGAAAATAGGTTTCCCTTATTTTTTCATTTTTAAAATTTTCTTCTAGGTCCAAATTAAAGCTCAAAAACTTTCTATATTTGGAAATCAGTAAGTATTTCCAAAAACTTCTCTATAGTATTTTGGGACATGTGCCCAGGGTCTTCCATTTTCTCTTATTTCTTGAATAATAATTTGCCAGGAGGGATTTGATCAGGCCCACCTCTGGTGCTGCCAGCCTGACTGAATTTCCTGGTCCTCTAGGTGGTTTTGGAAATGTCAACTCGAAGGAGCACTGCCAAGTTAGAAAATCACTGCTTATGACTCTACATGCAGATAGGGACAGGTGTCTTCATCTTTCTGCTGGCAGGTTCTGTGCCATGAGAAGTTTCTGTAATAAAAAAAAATAAAGTTTCTTTTGAAATACGGATTTAATTTCCAATACATTTCAAATGAAAGTTATTTGACATAATTGATACTCCTGCTCATTGATACAGTTTTTTTCACTTGGCTCCCAAGACACCATACTCTGTTTTCTTCCTACCTCACTGGTCACTTCCTCTTAGTTTCTTTTATTCATTAGAATGCCCCATGACTCATTCCTAGGACCTCTTCTTTTTCCTACTGCATTTTCATGAAGATTTCATCTATATTCACAGTTCTGATTACCAGCTATGCTAATGACTCTCTCAATTTTGTGCCTTCAACTATACTCCATACCCATGTAGCCAACTTGTATACATGACAATTTTATTTGACTATCCATAATCACCACAAATCCACCCTATCAAAAATGACCTTCTATCACACCTCCAGATATGCATCATCTCAGTTGATTCAAATTCAGGATCCTAGTTGGGAGAACAAAAAGTGGCATTTACGTGTGTCAGCTTTGATAGCCCTCTTTCACTGCTAATCCATCAGACCTTCCTGCCTACTCTTCATCGAAATACAGGCACACTTCGTTTATTGCACTTTGCTTTATTTGGATTCACAGATATTGCATTTTTTTCTTCACAAATTGAAGGTTTGTAGCAATCCTAAGGTGAGCATGTTTATCAGTGCCATTTTTTCCAAGAGCATGTGTTCACGTCATGTCTTTTCGTCACATTTTGGTAATTTTCACAATATTTCAAACTTTTTATTACATCGTTTATAGTAATCTATCATCAGGGATCTTTGTTACTGATATAATTATTTTGGAGTGCCACAAACTATGTGCATATGAGAGGTCAGTAAATTTTGTATGTATTCTGACTGCTTCACTGACTGGCTATTCCTCTGTTTGTTTGTTTGTTTGTTTGTTTTCCCTTTCCTTGGTCCTTCCTATTCCCAGAGACACAATAATATTGAAATTATGACCTTTAATACTCTACAATGACCTATAAGTGTTTAACTGAAAGGAAAAGTTTGATGTCTCACCTTAGATGAAAAACTGAAAAGTATTAAGCTTAGTGAGAAATACATGTCGAAAGCTGAGATGGGTCAAAATCTAGACCTCTTGTCCCAGTTATCCAAGCTGTGAATGCAAAGTAAGAGTTCTTGAAGGAAATTAAAAGTGCTACTCCAGTGAATACATGAATGTTTAAGAAAGCAAAAAAAAAAAAAAAAAAAAGATTTATTTGTGATACGGAGAAAGTTTAGTGCTCTGGAGAGATCAAACCAGCCACAACATTCCCATAAGCCAAAGAGTAATCTAGAGCAAGGCCCTAAATCTCTTTAATTCTACGAAGACTAAGAGAGGTGAGGAAGGTGCAGAATTAAAACCTAGTAGAGGTTGATTCATGAGGTTTAAGGAAGGAAGTCATCTCCATAACATAAAAGTGCAAGGTGAAGTCACAAGTGCTGATGTAGAACCTGCAGCAAGCAATGCAGATGATCTAGCTAAGATCATTGATGAGGGTGGCTACACTAAGCAGCTTTCTCAATGCGGACAAAACAGCCTTATATTGGAATAAGATGCCATTTAGGACTGTAATAGGTAGAGAGGGAAAGTCAATGCTTGGCTTCAAAGTTTCAAAGGACAGCCTGAATCTCTTGTTAGAGGCTAGTGCAGCTGGTTACTTGAAATTGAAGACAATGGCCATTTACCATTCTGACAATCCTTAGTGCCTTAAGAATTATGCAAAATCTACTCTGCCTATGTTCTACAAATGGAACAATGAAGCCTGATGACAGCAAGCCTATTTCCCGCAAGGTTTACTGTCACTGTAGAGACCTGCTCAGAAAGAAAGAAAAAAGATTCCTTTAAACTATTACTCCTTATTAGCAATGCATCTGATCACCCAAGAGCTCTGATGGAAATGTACAAGGAGAGATGAATGTTGTTTGCATGCCTGCTAACATAACACTTATTCTTCAGCCCATATATCAAGGAGTAATTTTGACTTCCAAGTCTTACTATTTAAGAAATACATTTCATTAAGCTATAGCTACAATAGATGGTGATTCCTCTGATGGGTCTGCTATCAAACAGCATCACAAACTTTCCTTTTGTCTTATTTTTAGAAAGTGCTACAGCCACTTCCACTTTCAGCAACCACAACTGAGCAACCAACAACACCAAGGCAAGACCATCCTTCAGCAAAAAGATTATAACTCATTGAGGGTCCAGATGGTCATTAGCATTTTCAGCAACACAGTATTTTTAATTAAGGCATGTACAATATTTTAAAGACATAATGCTGTTGCACACTATAGATTATAGTATTAACATAACTTTTATATGGACTGGAAAATTAAAAAACTTCTTGTGCCTTCCTTTATTTCAATATTCAGCTCACTGATATCACTGAACCTGCAATATCTTCAAGGTATGTCTGTACGTACATACTGTGATCATTTCTCAATATTTTCCCTGCCACCACCCTGGCTGGAACCAGCTTCGTCTTAATCATACATCGTTGAAATAATCTCTTATGTGATCTCCTTGCTTTTACAAACTCTTCAGTCACTATCACCCAAGTTTCAAATAGCAACCAGAGTGCTCCACTTTATTTTGTTTTTATTTTTATTTTTATTTGTTAGAGGTTAAGTCTTGCTATGTTTCCTGGGCTTGGAATCAGCTTCATCTTAATCATACATCATTGAAATAATCTCCTCTATGGTCTCCCTGCTTTTACAAATGTTTCACTCCCTAACACCTAAATTTCAAATAGCAACCAGAGTGATTCATTTTATTTTTTCATTTTTGTTTGTTAGAGATGAGGGCTCACTATGTTTCCTGGGCTGGAGTGCATTGGCTATTTATAGGCCAGATCATAGTTCACCGAAACCTCAAACTCCTGGCCTCAAGCAATATTTCTACCTCAACCTCCCCAGCAGCTGAGACTACAGGGGTGTATCACTGCCCCTGGCTAGAGTGATCCTTTAAAATGTCACATCCTGTCATCTTTCTTTCAAAGCACTGTAATGGTTCTCCATTCCTCAACAACTTATAGCTGAAGGCTTTCCTCCATGGATTTATGTGACCTGCCCTCATGACCTCCCTAACCTCATCTCTCCTTTTTCTTGTTGCTTGCTCTGCTTTAGACACACTGGCCTGGCTACATCAGTCACACTCTTGTACTTGTGCCATAACAATGGCATTTCCTCTGCTTGGAATGCATTCTTCCCAGGTATCCACAAGACTAACTCTCTGACTGCCTCTGGACTCTGCTCAAAGATCACTTCCTCAGTGAGGTCTATCCTGCACCACCCCACTAGCACTTGGCACTCCCAATCTTTCTGATTTTACTTCTTCTGTGCTGTACTTTCATTACATAAAATGTTAGAATGTATATTAGAATTAGAATATTTCACATTCAAACATTTTATATAACTTTTGTATTTATTATGTGTATTATATATGTCTCTCCCACTAGAATATAAGTTACATATTGTCTTATTTAATGATATGTAGGATACTTTCTACATAGTACAAGATTAATAAATATTAATGGAATAAATGACACTTTCTTACTAAAATAGGAACAGGGCAAATTTTCCTGCTACTACCAGTACTTCTCAGTATTACAATTGATATGTCCAAATCAATGCAAAGGGACAAAGAGAAAAGTTATAAATAATAGGAAGAGTCAAAATTGTGACCATGTGCATACAGTGTGATTATCTACCTATAAAACCAAGGACGTTACTCTAAAAGATGGGAAAAACCAAACTGCTTTTTCTACTCTCATGCTCGACACAGAGCACTTTTATGACCAGATGTGTGTTCTTTTTTCCCTGCACATTGACCAATTCTCAACACCATCTGGATGTCCTATAATTCAATTTAATTTTGACATTAACTCGAGTGAGTATAGACCCCACAGGTTACGAGCTCAGTATTACAAAACTGCCCCTCTGCACTTCAGATGCCAAGGGAAAGTCCCAGGTTGTTTCACCTGTGATTCTGACCAACCGTCTATAAAAGGGTGGTTCCCATAACTCCCTCCTCAGGTTCAATTATTATAGAGTTGCTCACAGAACTCAGAGAGACAATGTACTTATTTTTTCATTTATTATAAAAAGATAAGAATGAACAGCCAGATGGAAGAGATGCTTAGGTAAGGTATGGAGGAGGGCGCAGAGCTTCCATGCCCTCTTGTAGGGGAGCACCCCACTCCTATCTCCTCCATGTGTTCAGCAACACAGAAGTTCTCTGAACCCTGTCCTTTTGGTTTTTTGTGTGGAGACTTCAATACATAGACCTGATTGATTAAATCATTAGCATTGGTGATCAACTCACTTTTCAGCCTCCTTCTCTCCCTGGGATTGGTGCAGGTGAGGAAAATTTCAACTCTCTAATCACCTGGTTGGTTACCCTGGCAACCAGACCCCATCCAGAGGCTAGCCAAGAGCCCCCAGCCACCAGTCATCTCATTCTCTTAGGAAAAGACTCTTTTTCACTTCAGAGATTCCAAGGGTTTTTGGAGCTTGTATGCCAGGAAAAGGAGAGGAAGATCAAATCTATAGTTTTTAATTATAAGTCATATTACAGTCACCTAAAGAGATTTGTGAGAACTAATGACAGAATTCTGTAAAGAGGCCAAATTCACACTTAATATGAATTTTTAAAAATTTAACAATTTTTCTATGTTTCAACAGTAACCATATTTTAAAAAATAAATTCATGGACAGAAAGGGATCCTATCTGCAACATCAAAAATAGAGGCTGTGTACAGTGGCTCATACCTGTAATCCCAAAGCTTTGGGAGGCCAAGATGGGAGGACTGCTTGAGGCCAGCAGTTTGAGACAAGCCTGGAAAATAAGGAGACCTTTTCTCTACCAAATATATATTTATATAATATATATATATTTATATAAAAAATATATATATTTTTTAACTGAGTGTGGTGTCACATACTTGTAATCCTAGCTACTTGAGAGACTGAGGTGAGAGGATTACT